TGTTTTACCACACCCCAAACCAGGGGGGGGGGGGGAATCCAGTTCCCGGCATGGTAGAATCAAGGCAAGGGTTCTGTCAGCAACTAATGTATTTCCTTCCTTTTGTGTTTCATGCATGTGATCAAAAGGGGAACCCCAAAGGGCGCCAGAATGAGAGGACGGTTATTCAGTACCATTACACACAGTGGCCTGACATGGGAGTGCCTGAATATGCCCTGCCAGTGCTAACATTTGTGAGAAGATCCTCTGCAGCTAGGACCCCTGAGATGGGCCCAGTGGTCGTGCACTGCAGGTATAGCTGGATATAGCTCCATTTTATTAACAACACATTGTAAATTAATATGCACTTGCAGTAGATTTTTATAGTGTACTTATATATCAGTGGAGCTGTGGTGGCTCAAGTGGTTAAGACGCTGAACTGCAGGCTGTGGAAGGTCAGTAGTTCAGCAGTTCGAGACCCAAGTGTGCCACATGATGGAGTGAGCTCCCGTCTCTAGTTCCAGCTCCTGCCAACCTAGCAGTTCGAAAGCAAGAAATTGCAAGTAGATAAATAGGTACCACTTCGGTGGGAAGGTAACAGCGTTCCGTGCGCCTTGGTGTTTAGTCATGCCGGCCACATGACCACGGAAATGTCTTCGGATAGCGCTGGCTCTTCGGCTTGGAAACGGAGATGAGCACCGTAACCCTAGAGTCGGACTCGACTGGCTTTCGAGCAAGGGAACCTTTACCTTTTATATAACATTTGTGTTAAATGCTTTACAGTTCTCATTCATCCTATCAGTTTAGAGGAAATAAGTCGGTTCATTTGATTTCTATGTTACACCAAGAGAGCTATAACTTAAAATCTGTTGTTTTCAAGGCATGCACTGCAAGGCTGAGTCAAGTTTTGAACTCATATCTCCCTAACCCAAGTCTACTACTGCAGTGCCCAGTACACATAATCTCATTGCTGTGTGAGATGTATAGTTCTCTCCTTCCGAAAGCTAAAGAACAGCAGTAGCTGACTATGTATTCAACCAAGTTGATCATTTGTCTTTATATGTTAGCCTTCAGATTGCTCAAGCAGGTTTTTTCCCCTTGACTACAGAACATACCAGAACTAGGACAAAACCTGAGAATTCCTCTGTGTGTTATGTCAAATAAAATGATTTTTTACCAGTGCATTAAATACAGAAGAACTACAGTTTACCTTTGGTGTAGTGTTTAAGAGCAGTAGACTCTAATCTGGAGAACCAGGTTTGCTTTCCCAGTCACAATTCTCTCAGAGCTGTTCTCTCAAGAGCAGTCCTTGAAAGAGTTCTCTCAGCCCCACATACCTTACAGGGTGTCTGTTGTGGGAAGGGAAGAAGATTGTAAGCCACTCTGAGACTCCGAGAAGGGCATGGTATAAATCCAACTCTTCTTCTTCTTCTATGCTATACTGCAGCCATCTTCAGAAATTTGATCCACAACCATAAGAATTTGAAACTATTTTCTTAAGTTAAATGATAGCTAATCATGTAGTCAGTTTAAGCAACTTTCAGGAAACAATTAAAAATTCCATTTGCTATGATCACATTGGAATCAGACAAAATATATTTTGGAAAGCCTGGGGAGCAAAACTGTGACTTTAAATAATACTGCTACATCAGCAGCTGTCATGAGTATTTAACTAACTTTCTTTTGTATCTTTTTTAAATTTTTTGGCCAGTGCTGGTGTTGGTAGGACTGGAACCTACATTGTTATAGATAGTATGCTGCAACAGATAAAAGACAAAAGCACAGTTAATGTCCTAGGTTTCCTGAAACACATCAGGACACAGCGCAACTACCTCGTCCAGACAGAGGTAAAACTACAGAAAAGCATTCACTTTTATGACAATAAAGGTTTGTCAGCAAATTTCACTACATGCAAAATGTTTCATCATGCATAATTTCCACTGTAATCTCTCTGTTAGTTACATACTACACTTCTTGTATTTCGTTTTCTTGGGGTTGCAGTTTGCAAATGCTTATATTTGCCTATTATTTATATAGTGCTTAGAATAAACTGGGTACTGCACATAAAAATTTTAAGTCAAATTGCTGCCCAAAAGTTCACAATCTAAATACTGACAGGCTACAAGATACGATAGACAATTGTAATGTCTAATTTATAAAATACAAGACCTTCATAAAGATGGACGACCATTGATAAAAGATGATGGAAATTTTGTAAAAATAAAGCATTATATTTATATAATGTACGTGATATTATAAATTATATTTAATCTTAAGAAATCTTTAAAAGGAAGTGCATATGAGGGGGGTGGGGTGATTCCAAGCACAGGGAGAAGTAAAAGAAAGCAAAGGAAAAATAAGCAGTGGGGAAACAGACCTTTTTGGAAGAAAACAGAAAACCTGTCTAGGCAGTATTTCACTCTGAGGTTGTTTCAAATAAAACAAAGACTTGTTTTTAAAACACTAGTGTTCCAGTGCATTTTCTTCTTGCTCATGCCTTGGTTCCTCCTGCCATTGTAGGAACAGTATGTTTTTATTCATGATGCCTTGTTGGAAGCCATTCTTGGAAAAGAGACTGAAGTTTCTGCCAGCCAACTACATAGCTATGTTAATAGTATTCTCATACCTGGAGTTGGAGGCAAGACTCGGCTAGAGAAACAGTTCAAGGTAGGCTTCTATCCTGGCCTTCATCCCTGATAATGTCCATGGCATAAAAGACCACTTTGCATCTGAGGAAGGAGTTATAAAGAAAACAGAAAACACAAGGTCTTGATTACGGTGGAAACCTGACATCTTTGAGAAGAAGGAGATGTCCTTGTGGAGTTGGGTTGTAGAGGGTCAGACCTTAAAGCACATAGTTTAGAGGCTATCCTGCTATCCCAGCAGAGCAGATGCAGCCAACCTTAAAAGAAGGGGAAATCATTTGTGGCCAGGTGTTCAGAGACCTTGTCCATGAACTGATTGAGAACAAGCTTCAGGTTCCATGCAGGATAAACCTGAACAAGGTCATGGAAGAACAATTCCACTATCTTAGCTTGATTGACTATTGAATGATCATGCGTCAGAGGTCAAGAAACAGAGATGGCAGCCAGGTGGACCTTAGGAGATGAGTGTGCCAGTCCTAGACATGAAAGGTGAAGAAGGTATTCTAGGATGGAAGGCAGTGGGCAGGCAGATCATGTTTTTCATATATAAATGTGAATAGTTCTAACTTTTTATTGTAATTGTTATTTCTGTATCTATTTTATGAGTGTAAGTTGCTTGAAAGGCAGCTTTTTTGACTAGGAAGCAAGGATATAAATGGAAATAAAGTAAATCTTGATGGCCACAGTTTTTGGATCAGTTGCTTCCTCCAGTACAAATTTTCAGCTGCTTTATGCTGACATTGTACCATAGAAGTATCACAAAGTAAATCTGCCAGACAAAACAGGCCAGCTCAGAAATAATTGATCTTAGCTACACTATTCAAGTTCACATAAGGTATAGGAAATATACCTTAGATGTAGTTTTATTTTGATGCCTTATTAGGAGAAAAGAAAAGAACTTGTTTCCTGAGAGCGTCTTGGGCTGCTGGAGGAGGGAGGAGTTGAAAAAAATGTTCCGCAAGCAGTTTTCCTGTCTGTGAAAACACTCTGGTGGATTTAAGCCCTGGCCCTGACCTGTGTATGCCTTTATAACTTTGGAATATATTTTCAGAAAGAATTAAATCAAAAATGTCAAACGGAATGGAATTTCATTTACTCTTTGTGCTATAAATGAGAACTATACAGACATGAGTGCTCAACAAGCCTCTGAATAAATGTTACTTTATGCAGAAAAGTTCAGTTCTTCTTGGCATTTTGAATACTTTTAGCAAATGTAACAATACAGTTTGTTCTCTCAGGGATGCCATTTTTTTCAGAAGTAAAAAAGAAACTTGTCTCTCTTTCAAAAATAAGAACTACAAAGAATTAATAAATCTTTATTCTGCTTTATTTAAATCTTGTAGCTGGTTATGCAGTGCAATGCAAAATATGTGGAGTGCTTCAGTGCTCAGAAGGACTGCAACAAAGAGAAGAACAGGAATTCATCAGTAGTGCCATGTAAGATTGCATCTTCAAGCTTGATTGCTACACTGCATGAATTCTTTTTACTAAATACTGAATTGAGTTTGTGTATAGTGATGAAGGTCCTCCTTAGTTAGATTGTTATATCTTACTGAGGCAGAGCTTTCTTTAAATGTAAAACTGTGGCTTAATGTTCAATATGATGCAGTTGGGTACACAAAAACAAATCAGAACTTTCTACCTCATTGGATATTACTATGAAAGTTTTCTGCGTTGATGGACTCATTTTTAAGTAGAGTTGCAAACACTTTCAACAACAATGCGGTTTTGTCTTCTAGAGTCATATTTTTTAGAAGTTGCCTTTCCTTAGATCAGAAGCAACATATGCATGAGCATATTAGTTCATTTAAAAAACAAACAGTAGTTTCTTCCAGACATAGCAGCAACAGCATGGGGAGAGTTAGAAGAGGGGTACCTTCCCCTGCCCATTATTTGACTTGTTAAATCCACCACCACCACCCCAGCCACTTTCCCTCTGTGAGATTTCAGATTCATGTTCGCATGTTAACATATAATGTAATTCTTGCCTTCATCAGCACAAAATCATCCATGGAGGTATCGTAGGGCAATCAAACAATACTGTATACATACTACTAACAGGCCATTTTTGCAACTACAGTATCCTCATGACATGGTGAGAAAGATGATTGGAAAGGCCAGAATGATACCCGACAACTTGCTACAAGACAAGCCTAAAGAAAATGACAACAGAACACCACTGGTGGTCACCTACAGCTCACAACTCAAGCCAGTTCAACACATTATGAATGACCTACAACCCATGCTGGATAGTGACACTTCCCTCACACAGGCACTGGGGGTTGACCTTTCTTGCTTACAGACAGCCTGCTAACCTAAAACAATTTCTCACCCACAATGACAAACTACCAGAGTCACGGGGACTCTGGTACCAAGACCTGCAACAAAGCAAGATGCCAACTTTGCTGTCATATAGATCCTAGCAACACCATCAGTGGACCCAGCAACATCAGCCATACCATCTCAGGCTCATACTAGGGGTGTGCACACAAAAAATTCGGTGTTTTTCGGGTTCCAGTAAATCAAGCCTGAAAAATATCGGTATATACCGATATTCACGAGTCCCAATATTGGTAAGATATTGGGGTTCAGGAAAATTCGGTACTGCCGAATATATTTGGCCATTATACCCTATGGGGAAAGTCCCCATAGAGTATAAAGGCACTGGAGCCTTTCCTTTCCCAGTGCCCTACCTCTAGTCAGTTTCACTCCCTCTGGATCAGCTGGGGAATGAAATTGACCAGAGGAAGCAGCGGGCAGCTGCAGAAGGAAAGACTCAGGAGGGAGGCATGTTTAAATGCCCCCCTCCCTTCCCCGGCCTGCCTCCCTCCACAGATCTGGGAGGGAAGGCAGTTTAAACTACCTTCCCTACCAGACTGGGCTTGCCCAGGTCCCCTGTGGCTTGTGGGGTGCCTGGGAAAGCGAAGGGAAGGCAGTTTAAATTCCTTTCCCTCTCAGGATCAGCTTTCCCAGGCTCCCCACAGCTGTGGGGTACCTGGGGAAGCAAAGGGAAGGCAGTTTAAACTGCCTTCCCCCCGCCCAGACTGGGGTTCCCCAAGTGCCCCACAGCTTGCGGGACACCTGGGAAAGCTAAGGGAAGGCAGTTTACACTGCCTTCCCTCACAGACTGGGCTTTCCCAGGAACCCCGTGGCTTGTGTGGTGTATGGGAAAGCAAAGGGAAGGCAGTTTAAATTCCCTTCCTTCTCATGATCAGCTTCCCCAGGCTCCTGTAGCTGCGGGGTACCTGGGGAACCAAAGGAAAGGCAGTTTAAACTCCCTTCCCTCCCAAAGTAGGCTTCCCCACACACCTCACGGTTGCAGGGCGCCTTGGGAAGCAAAGGGAAGGCAGTTTCCCTCCCAGGATCGGATTTCCCAGGCTCCCCTCGGCTGCCTTTCATTGCCTTTCATCCCCGATCCAGGGGCCTAAATAAAAGCCAAATAAGGTCAGCTTTTATTCAGGAGCACCTTATTGGTAGCCAAATCAGATTAGAGAATCTGATTCAGCTTAACTAATACCCGAAAAATACCAATAAGGTATTTTGTGGGCATTTTTTCTATTCGGCAAAGCTGAATGCACACCCCTAGTTCATACTTCTGCTCATCCTCTAATGTGATTTATGCCATCATTTGTCAGCAGTGCCCTTCTATCCTCTACTTTGGACAAACAGGCCAGTCCCTTTGACAAAGAATTAATGGACATAAATCTGACATCAGAAACCACAACATTCAAAAAACAGTGGGGGACCATTTTAACCTTCCAGGACATTCAGTTGCTGACCTAAAAGTAGCAGTTCTCTTACAAAGAAATTTCAAAGGGAGATTAGAAAGAAAGACTGCTGAATTGCAACTGAGAATGAAGCTCAAGACAATGCATCCACCTGGACTGAATTGAGACCTAGGTTTTCTGTCTCATTACCAGTGCTGATTTCTCTATGCCTACTACCCCTCTGGATATCACACCTAATCTAATCACACATTTGGCATCTGAAATCACTCCACTTTCCAATATTTAGGACACATGGACTCACATTCTAACTGTATCTGAAGACGTGAGCAGTGACTCAAGAAAGCTCACAACCTACCACAAATTTTTGTTAGTCTTTAAGGTGTTATTGGACTCTTTTCTACTACTAATGATCTGCTTATATTGTTAAATGTCTTGTAAGTGTTGCTTGCAATATGTGCATAGCTATGTAGCCTATTCCCTAGGACCAAAGCTACTTACTGCATTTCTTTCTGGGACTGATGCAATATCCTTCTCTTTCTCCTCTGAAAACCACCTGGAGACTTATGTCCCATAAGAACACAAGAAGTGCCCTCCTGCTTTAGACCAGTGTCTGTCTAGTCCAACATCTTGTTTCACACAATGGCCAGCCAGTTGCCATGGTGAAGCAACAAAGGCATGAAGGCCAAGGCCTCCCCTTGGTGCTGGTATTCAAAAATTAGCGTCCTCTGAATGCAGGCATTCCCCTTAGTCATTATGGCTAGTAGCCACTGATGGACATGAATCTGTCTAATCCCCCTTTAAAGCCATCTATGCTAGATGGCATCACTACATTCACTGGTAGTGAAGCTCACAACTGAATTACATGTCTAATGAGATAATACTTTGTCCATCCTAAATCTATTGCCCATCAATGTCATTTATGGCTACCATGTTCTAGTGTTATAGAAGTTCTTCGCACCTTGTATCTTTGTCATGACCCCCAATAACCACCTTTTAGTAAACTGGAAAACCACAGACTCTTTAGCCTTTCCATGTAAGATGCTCCAATTTCGTAATTATCTTAGTTGTCCTCTTCTCCCATTTTTCCAGCTCTGTGATTTTTTAAGAAATACAGTGACCAGAACAGTACACAGTACACACAAATGAGGCAGCATCATAGGTTTATACAAGGGAATTACAATATTCACTGTTTTATTTTCAACCCTTTTCCTTATAATCCTTAATATGGGCTTTGCCTTTCTCACTGCTGCCTCACACTAAAGTCAACATTTTCACTGATCTAGCCACAGATCTAGATGTACAAGATCAGACCCAGCTCCTGCTATGTTTGAAGAAATGCTCATTGTATGGCTTAATGTTTTTAGCAGTCTGCTCCTCATACTCTCTTTTTGCTCACCTTTTTGTCAACTTTCATTTGTTTTGTCAGAACCTGTGCTCCTTTCTGTTTACCTCCTTTGGGATAGCCTTGCAAATTTTAAGAGAATTCTTCTTGCAGCCCAAATACCCCAGCTTAGCCCTGGGCTCACCAGAGCTTGGGAGCTAAGCAGAGTGGGCCACGGACAGTACTTGGATGGGATGTCACCAAGGAAGACTGGGATTGCTATACGGAGGAAGGCAGTAGCAAACCACCTCTGCTTGTCTTGCCTGGAACACCCCATGGATGGGGTCACCAGAAGTCAGTTGCAGTTTGTTCTTTTTTGTCTTGTGCTTTATGGATTGACTTGGATTGTCAGCCACACTGGCACCAATGGCACCATTTTAGATTTTTCACCTACAGTCAGACCATGCCTCTTTAGTTTGAGGATTTGGGAGAGCATCTTTTAAAATATTCTTTTGGGCTTTTAATGTAAAGGTTTATTTAATATGAAGGTTATTTTTCATACTGGTTTCTCAAGTATTACTAGTCGCCATAATGGTCTAAGAAATCCAAATAAGTAAATGGGTTGAGGGGTGCATCCTCAATTAAGGAGGATTACTTCTGCATTATATTACTGCATCTAAGCAATTCAGTTGACCCTTGGAAGCACTTCACAGCAGTGGTAATCCACAAGCCGTTTCATGAAATTAAGCTGATTGAGCATCACTGTTGCCAATGGCCTCAAATCAGCTCGTGTGTGTGTGTGTGTGTGTGTGTGTGTGTGTGGTGCTGTCAAGATGCAGTGGACTTACAGAAACCCTATAGGGTTTTCCAGGCAAGTGATTTAGCAGAGGCAGTTTGGCATTACCTTCTTCTGCAAAGGCTTCCTTGGTGGTCTCCCATCCAAGTACTGACCATGCTTAGCTTCCGAGATGTGACAAAATTGGGCTATGCTATCCCATTCCATATGTCTATTTATATCTAAGTATTCTGGCTTAACTCCTCCACTGATCTGTCATTCATACTTTCATCACAAATGACCTTTGGGCAACTCGATCCCTGAAAGAGACTATATATGCTAACAGTGCAATCCTGTGCTGGAGTTACAATGTTTTAAATTCATTCAAGTAAGTTCATTTAGAAGAGTGTAACTCTAATTAGGAATCCACTGGAAGAGTTTGTGTCATGTATATTCCATGATACAGTATTGTGTTAACAGAAAAGGTAGCTATTTATGCTGAAGTTAGGGCAGTGGTGGTGGTGGTGGTTGCTGCTACTGCTGGAGGAGCATAGAAGATGATAAAATAAAAATTGTGTGCAATTGGAGGGATATAAAATTCTGTAGTCAAAAATTATTAACTATTATTTGGAGATTTGGGTGTTTTGTGAAAATGCTTGCTGTAGTGAAATGCGATTACCGACATTATAGTATTCTTTGTGGAACATGTCATTTTATATCCTATGTTAACTCAGAATATTTTATTATGGCCAAAGTGCTGGGTCTGGCCCTCAGAGAAATGGCAATTGTGTTATGATACGCATGCTGTGATTGTGAGTTCCATTTAGGATAGGCCTTTTGTTTGATATTTCAGCTGAACGAGCAAGGGTGGGACTGGCACCGTTACCTGGAATGAAGGGAACTGATTACATTAATGCATCTTACATCATGGTAAGAAAATCAACATTTCATTGTAAGTACATCAATGGAAGAAATTTAATATAAAGACTCTTCATTTTACAGTTGATTGCATAAAGTACTGTCTTGCGTTCCAATACGGTAGTTTCTACTGTTTTTTCAGTGAGGAACACTGAGCATCAAAATTGCTTACAGCAATATGAATTTCATTTGTCATAACTTCAGGACCCATCCCCATCTCCCCCCGCCCCGAACACACAGCTCAAAGGAGGAGGTCCCCATAGAGCATGCTCCCTCTCATACTCCTACAAGCCTTTAACCAGGCACAGTCCTACTACAGCATCCTAGCCATTACCTGAAATGAGGGGACTCAAATATATCTGCCATTCTAGGTCATAATCCACATGCTGCAGTTCATGTGCATCCAAACAAGAGTAAATAGGGGAATTAAAGGGCCCATTGAACGCTACAGGAATCCTTTTTGGTGTCTGCTGTTCTATGTATTCCTGCATTTCTAACTCCCTTGGTACTTTTTTTTTGTGGGGAGGAGGGACTGGTGAGATATTTTTCATCATGGTACACAAATCTCACCTTACTGATGTTCTCTTTGCAAAACATACTGACACTTTAGAAATTGAACCTGTGCCCTGATACCCACTATAGTGTTTTTAATAAGTGCAAATAACTACCAAATGCAGCTCACTGTATCTGTGTACTCACTGTGGCCATCTGCATCCAGTAGGTTGCCATTCCTAGTGCTAAATCTTCAAGGTGAAACTAAGGGCTTTTTATTTCATGTTTACCGCTATAGCGTTCAGGATAAGTTAAAACAGCAGAACACTTTAAAGTTTTTGACAGTCTTATATACTAGTATTATCTGTTCTCATCCATGATGAATAATGTTCCTAAATTATTCCTTGGACTGAGTAAAGTATGATTGGAAGGCACATGATGCAGCCACCTGGCTGAAACTAGGCAGTTCTGAAGTCCGGTCAGTGCCCAGTTGAGAAACCCTATATATGCTGCCTTGAGTTTCATGATGGAGGGAAAGTAGCATATAAATATAATAAATACCCTGCTAAATCTTGTTTCCATTTTAAAAGGGTTACTACCGGAGTAATGAGTTCATCATAACGCAGCATCCCCTGCCACACACAACTAAAGACTTCTGGAGAATGATTTGGGATCATAATGCACAGATCATTGTCATGCTTCCAGACAACCAGAGCTTGGTAAGTCAATTCAGTCCTCTTCATTCCCCCATACATGAAGAGCAGAAAGGAACAGGAATTAGATCACTTTGTATTCTGTCAGTGTTTCAAAGGGAAGTGCCATTTTCAAAAGTAATGGGTCCCCTTTAACAACTCTATAACCCTGGTGTTCAAAGCAGGCTGAAAAGATAAGCCAGGGAAGGCTTGTAAGAGTGAGGAATACACTTGTAAATCTTCCTGCATCGACCACAACAAAAAAGGCACACTTCTGTTCATCCTGTGAAAGCAAAAAACTCCTGTTCACTAAACTTTTTCAAAGAGGGGAAAGCATCATCTGACTCCTGAGCTTCTTGGAAGAACGATGCGATAAGAATGGGTACTATCCCACTCCACTCAGCTAAGTGCAGAACTTTCCTCCTTAGGAAGAGCCTGTCCCACTGAAGAAAACTCTGCATTAATTTAGCAGAATGGTAGTCCCCAACCTAGTGTGCAATTTGACAGTTACCAAGTTATACTTTGGCTGCAGTCACACCCACTAAATAATCCACTTTCAGTGCGCTTTCCCACTGGATTTTACTTGTGTGAACTGGCAAAATCCTGTTGGAAAGTGCCTGGAAAGTGGATTATTTAGTGGGTGTGACTGCAGCCTTTGTTTCCTTCAGACCAATGAGCAGTGTGAAGTGGCAAACTTTGTACCTCCAGATGGTAACTGTGTTTCTCTGGAGGTTACTGGGCTCTGCCTTAAATATATTCTCATTACTGGCCAGGAGTGGGCGCTCCTAGGCAGTGAGCGGTGAGAAAAACACTAGCTGGACCACAAGAGGGTCCATCGCAGGCTGTGGTGTTTTTTCTCTGCCAGGATGGGCCACTATAGTTTGGATCCCGACAAGACTGAGCAAGGTTGTATTGTCATTAGCAAGTTTTTTGCACAGATAATGAGTTGAATTTTTTAAATTTAATTAAAGATTAAATTGTAAGCAGTGCATTTTGGGGTGTTGTACAATTTGATGAGAGCTTTTAAATATTTTCTAAAATATATGCATTCATGGTAAAAACATTATGGATGTTCTCAGTCTGGAGCTCAGTAATTCAAATGAGATTCTTTCCATGTCTATGAATCAAAGGCTATGTAGACAGATTAATAAATCATCAGTCTTTAATGACTGTGGTGGTTTTAGACAGGTACTTGTCTTAAGAGAGGATTTGACAAATGCCAAGTTGCCACAGTGCCTAGAAATTTCTTTGGGGCACCTACTATTTTCAGCTGTGGTTTTATTATAATATATCTCTTAGGAATTCTTAGTGGAAGTACAAAGGGCTGGATCCAACCAGTTTTTCCACTGGTGAAAAAGAGAGAAAGAGGTCCCCCTTTGACCACCAAAAAGGTTATGTTTGGGATCATGTATCCTGCATAGACAAAAGCCATGTAAAACTGGGACTGTAATGAGGGAAATTGGCCCAAGATTGAACGAAAAAGCTGGGTGGATCCAACCCTTATTTACCATCTTATATCAGAATGTTTTGTTGTATGGCATAAAAATTAATGTGCATGAAGTTCTTGTCATTGCTTGCTTATATGTAAACTCAATTTTACACATTCAGTAGTGGTGGATGAATTCATTTCTTAGCCAGTTGATTTCTATACTGGCTCCAGTATTCAATTAATTGAACTTTCTAAAGCAACAATGGAATTACAAGAAATTGGGGAGAAGTTAAGCTAGGATTGGAGGTTAAGGTCACCATAAGTTGGCTGCAACATGATGGCACTTTTCACCACCACTACAACAATTTTGTCACAGCTTTAATAAAATTACAAGAAACCCTGAAAAGGTTAGAAAATTAGAAAAGTTGGTCATTAAAGTACAAAACCCGATGGCTGAAAAATGAGTCTGGCTTCTAAACTTTGGGGTTGACTCCTGAAGCCAAAGAAATTTTGTTAAGGCATAACAAACAAGTATAATAATGTATGAGGAGATTTAATTGCCTAAGAAAAGTTTTAATCCTATAAATTATTTTAAAGAACCATTGTTCCTGTAAGCCAATAAAAATTAATCCTCTGCTATTGAGAAAGTTCTGGGTATTCTTATAATGTTTATACTATACTAGGAATAAGGCCTCTTGTGGAAAATAAATACAACAAGCTCTAGAAAGAGGTTCTGGGTGGGTGCCCTGGCCTTGGGCACTCAGCATCAATTTGCTGTGGTGCCCTCAGTAGGGTATAATGACACAGAGCTTACCATTTTCTCCAGGGGAACTGATCTTTGCCATCTGAAGAGCAGTTGTAATTCTGAGTGATCTCCAGCCCTCCCCTGGAGATTGGCAGCAATGATTCCCCGGGAGGAAATGGCTGGTTTGGAGGGTAGAGTCTATGGCATTGTACCTTTCTGAGGACCCACCCCTCCTCAAACCCTACCCTCTCCAGGCTCCACCCCTCAAATCTCCAGGAATTTCCCAACCTGGAGGTGGCAACCCTATCTCCTTCCCAGCCCCCCCCCCCCGAGAAAAAAAGAGAGAGAAAATAACTGTTTTGGAGGGTGGCCTCTATGGCATTTTGTTCAGCTGAGGCTGCTCCCCTCCCTAAACTCTGGCTTCCATAGACTCCACCACAAAATTTCCCAACCTGGAGCCGGCAACCCTAGTCAGGACTGACCCCAATGAGTTTTTTCCCAAAGGCCCCCCGCCTTTTACTGACAGAACCAAGCTTGGTTGCCTAGCAACAGGCACTGAGGGGAAAGTAGGATTGCCAGCTCTGAGTAGGGAAATACCTGGAGATTTGGGCAGTGTTTGGGGAGGGGGAGGACTCAGCAGGGTATAATGCCATAGGGTCTGCCCTCCAAAGCAGCCATTTTCTCCAGGGGAACTGATCTCTGTCATCTGGAGAAGAATTGTAACAGCGGGCAATCCTAAGGGAAAGTCAGGCACACAGCAGGAGGTTGAAGAGAATGGTTTGACGGCCATTGGCCCACCTCAGTAGCCAGCCAGCCAGCCATGGAGGAGTCAAGCAGGAGAGACAACCGTTTTGTCAGTTTATTCTGTCAGGGAAGTGGCCAAGCTGGCAGTGGGTGGGAGAGAGGAGCGGGCCCAGCACCCAGCCAATGGCATGCGAGTACTCTTGAGTGGCGGTTGATGGGCCAATGGCTGATGGAACACACAGCGCAGCCAGTGGGAGAGCTGGAAATGACCAATGCATTAGGGCAATTATACATATCAGATTAGCTAAAAGCCTCTTGTAAAAGACTGTTTTGTGATCCATTGGATTTTCCACATGTAAAATATAAATATATAACGTACAGCTTATATTTGCTTCACTTGTCTTTAGGCAGAAGATGAGTTTGTATACTGGCCCAGTCGAGAAGAATCCATGAACTGTGAGGCCTTTACTGTGACCCTTATCAGCAAAGACAGGCTGTGCCTCTCTAACGAGGAGCAGATCATCATCCATGACTTTATCCTCGAGGCTACCCAGGTATATAAAACAACCTCCAGAAGTGGAATCTGCTTAACATTCAAAGTGCTGCTGTTGTCAGTTGACACTTGAAACGAATGATGTTCAACAGGATTGATGTCTCTTTTTGACCATGATGGACAGAGAGGCTTGGTATCAGCTGCAGCCTTCTCTTCCCAAAGGTGTTTATCCTGTCATGTCTACGTTTTGTTTGCGGTCTCCCATTTCCGTAAGAGACTGCAACGTTTCATTTCTTCATCTAGTTAGGACTTGAACCTGCTTGATTCTCAAAGAAGCATCACACTAAGAGCCCATATTTTCAAAATGTCAAAGAGTTCATTAAATTTGAAAATCCCTCAGAAAAAACTAAGGGTGTTGATCCCTGAGCTGTTTTTCTTAGGATATATCATTGGACATACTGGAAACAGCTGGTTTGGTACATACCTGGCCCCAGGTGAACACCGATTAGTACCTCACTTTAGATATACTAATTTCCCTGGAATGTGCTATGCAGTTTCAGGATAAATGGTAGACTGGGGTGCATGGTTTAGGAGGATTTGCTCCTAACTGGTTCATGAACTTCTCATGCAGTCAACTGAAAACCTACCCAAAACCTACTTACTAGACAACATACCAATGATCCATGTGTGCTTTCTCATTATACCTTGTGTGAAGAAAGTGATTTTTTTGTCCCTCTCCCTTAATATGCAGGGTGCCCAATGAATCTGATAGGCAGTCAATTCTGGACAGACAAAAGGAAATACTTTCCCCCAAAATGTATATTATGGAACTCATTTCCACATGATGTGATAGAGACTGTTAGCTTAGATTGGGAGAAGGGGTAGATAAATTTATGGATGATAGGTCAGTGTGTGTAAGCCATGATAGCTGAATGGAACTTCCATGTTGAGAGGCAGGGCTGGATGGACTGTTGATCTGATCCAGCAAGGCTCTTCTTACATCAAGATTTAGGGTTAAGGTTAAGGTTCTGCTGGTGTGTATGGAAGTAACTGCCTGCTATGATCCTCCCCACAGTGTACTAAGATAACAGCCTATTATCTGGGTATGCATAAAGCAAGTATTGTGCAGTCTAGGGTGCATCTAACCATCTTAGCTGGCTAGACCAATAAAGAATGAGTCTTATGAAACTGAATGCCTATGCGTTAAAAGAATCCTTAGGGAATTTGCTCCTCATGGTTAGTAAATGAATTTGGCTAGTATTATAGCTCATGTGATTCAGTGCAGGAGATGCTGACAGCATCTGGAGTACATTTTCTTCAGTTGATAAATGGGGCAGGAATAAGAGAAGCACTGCCATGGAGAAGGGATATCCATTTTCGTTTTGGTGACACAAGGAAAGATAAAGAACCACTACTCTCCAGCAGCATGCTTTTTGAGGCAGGTGGTATTGAAGGATTCCATGATTGCCTTCAGAAATACCTTGCTCACTCCCAAATTCACCTAGCACTCTCACCTCTCCATAAGCAGGAATTCCCTTTCTCTGTATGGATTCATGGTCACCTTGTTTGTATGTTAAAGGAACCTTGGAATTGATTGATCACAGAAAATGTTGTTGGAGGACAAGAAAATGCTGACCTCGATAACACTGCTCACAAGATTAGAAACATGACAGCATAAATGGTTCAGTTTCCGGGGGGAGGGTGCATATCCAACAGATAAGTATTTTCTGCAGTAATCAAAACTTCCAACAAAAATGTTACTTGTGCAGGCTCTCACAAACATCTGAAGGTCAGGAGTGAATTTTTTAAAGCATAAAAATTGAATTAAGATGGTTAACAATTTGGTTGCTTTTTATTTCAGGATGACTATGTTTTGGAAGTGCGCCATTTTCAGTGTCCCAAATGGCCAAATCCAGATGCCCCAATCAGCAGTACCTTTGAACTAATCAACGTAATCAAGGAAGAGGCCTTAACAAGAGATGGCCCCACCATTGTTCATGATGAGTATGTATATTTACCGAAGCACATTTATTTATCGTTTGGATAAGAGAGATTATTTGGGTCTAACTCTGAGGGTTTCTAACTCTTAGGGCTCCCTGAAAATGAATGGTGTTAACCTACTTCTTTCTCCTAGATCAAGGGTTTTCAAAGGGCCCTTGAACAAGCAGAAGTTTTAGCAAAAGAGGAAGCATGCTCTGGGGTAGTGATCATCTAGTGTGCATGGGACTCATAATTATTATCCAAGCCAAGTATTTTCAATGTCACAACATTGTTCAGCATACGCTAGCTGAAATTTTTGTGAAAGGAGTTCTGCAGATATCCTCAGAGTTACAACCATGCCACTTCCAGCAGCATATGAAGTGGGTGTTTGTTTTATCTTGTATCAACACAATTCCACAAAAACTAGTTCACAGTGGTTATCTGAATATGGCTCAGAGTTCCATAACAACCTTGAAGTGAGATGAGCTAAGAACCAAAACTCTTTGGAGGATCTTTTGGTTTGTTTTTGTTTATGGAGGTTTTTTGACAATATGGCAGTGAACATTTCCAGGTCCAGTAGAAAGTCAGTAGAGACTGTTTGATGGCAAGCATCATCTCTTCTATACCTCATGGTCTACTGAGGTTCAGGCTCTGATTCTTCTGTTTCCTTGCATTCCTTTTAAATCAGAATCATGTCTGTGAAGCTGCCGTATACTGAAATCAAAGCACTAGTTCATCTAATGTAGTATTATCTATTTTGACTGGCAACAACTCTCCAAGTTCTGTTCCAATCCTTCTCTGCAAGATCTTTTCAACTGAAAATGCCAGGGGGGTATACATACAAACCATGTACTGTATCACAGCTACAGACACTCCCCAGTTTTTTTAGAGGTATCACCATCTTCACCTCCCTCGGCACACAGGCTTGAACACCCAAAGAGCAGTTTCAGACAGAATCAGACCCCATAGCTACCTGCTTCTTTTAAATTTCCATTTTAACAATGATTTACTTGTCTTTTGGTTTTCAAATAAAAGAGAGGGTATTGTCTTATACAGCTTCACCAGTCGTCCCAGACACTACTTAGCCATACTGAGGCTGCGGTCACACGCACCAGTTGAAGCGGAGGGGAACCAAGGCTATTTCCTCCAGAGGAATTTGACAAGCAGTTGCGAGATCACACCTTCTATTGTAGCTGCGGGCACAGCCCGTCACTGTGTGATCAGACGCAACTGCGGCTGAGCCTTTTTTATTGTGACAAAGAACATCTTACCATTAATTATGATAAGACCAAAGTTATGGTATTTGGCAGGCGCCCCCCCCCCCCCAAAAAAAAGAGTATGGTCAATAAAGGGAAACAAAATCGAGCAGGTCAATAAATTTACTTACCTTGGGGTAGTATTTCAGGAATCCGTATCTACTGCTGCACATTGCAGCCTCAGAGCAGAGTGTGCCGAGAGAACTATGTATGCAATACTAAGATTTTTTCGCTCTAAGGGGGGGCTATACATACCTGCTGCGCTGAAGCTCTTCCAGGCTAAAGTAATAGCCCAACTTCTATACGGCACTTTTATTGGTATATCAGCAACAAACTTGAACTTACCCAAAAAGATACAATCTATGGAGTATGTGATGATGTGCATTCTGCGAGGGGGGGGGGACGGCACTGAGCCGGGATGTCATGTTCAGACCATCCTGACAGCATGAGAGCGTGCTTGTGCAATAAGACAAAGGAAAGTCTGTCCGTGGCCCATCAGAACCCGTTAGAGACAGACTTTCCCCGGTGTCATTTAACTCTGTTTCTGCAGCAGAGCAGCACAGGTGGCTGACAACTGCGGGACACTTCCCAGATGTTGCTGTCTGATCGCTCCCTTTAGATCCATCAGGCATTCACACCTATGTCGGATCTAAAGGTGCGTGTGATCGCAGCCTGAGTTTTCTTTCTTTCTTCTTTTAAAGCCCCCGGAGGGGATTTTTTTTATTGCATTTTTTTATAACACTACAAAACTACAACAGAAAAAAGGGAGGGGAACTACATTTATAGGATAAAGAAAGATACCCGCTACTGACTAAAAATCCAAGAGAGGAGATCATCCCACCAGCTTAACCATACATTTAGTCTTTATCCCATTAGTCTTGCTATCAACTGAGTCAAGTTTAACATTATCTTTTTCAAATCTTAGATTCAACTGTTATACAGAAACACCCCAAAGCATCTCACTTCAACCCTTTTTAAAGGCACAATTCAGAGTCCTTCAGCCTTTACTTCTCCTTGCCTAGTCTCTTCCGAAGCTTATAAGGACTTTTAGGGGCCGCCGCCCCTTTCTCTGAAAGAGAGTCCTCCCCGGAGCCTGAGTTTTCTTAATGTTCCACAGAAAGAGAGATGGGGGAGTACATGCTGATAATATGAATCATGAGACTGCCTGACAGCTAAGATTTTTAGCAAAGGTCCTTCTTTATGTGTCCTTGCTTGCTCTTAGAGGTGTGGTGGGCATGCACCAGAGAGACAGCCTTCTCTGCACTGGGACCTCTTCTGTGAAGTTCACTCTCCACAACTGCTTTCCTGGCATATAGCCAGTTCATTTTCAGACACTAGGGTGAAAACCTTTTTGTTCACACAGGCTCTTGGTATGTGGTGTTTTTTGTAAATAATATTATCAAACATGCTGCTAACCACTGTAAGTGGCTGTAAATTGTTCTTAATGTTATTTTATTGGTTTTAGTTTTTTACTTAATTATAATTGGATTGCTTACTTATTTGTAAGCCACCTCAGAAGACAAGTGCTAAGCATATATGTGGGATATATATTTTTAAAGTCAGGAAGGCTCCCCTCTCCTGGCTTTCTGCAAACTATCCAAAACTTAATTATTCAAGAGGGCTTTTCTACACAGGCAATACAGTGACACTGAGTCACAAAGTTACTTGGAAAAATCATTAGAAACCATGGTCTATCCTATTGTGTATAGCTTGCTGAAACTAGGATCCTATGGTGGAATTTTGCATCATTGAATGTGTCGTATTCATACTTATGCTTTTGCTTCAGTTCTCTTTTTAGACTTCTGGTTGGTTCTGCAACCCTAATCCTATTGCATTGTTTACTGAATGTTCCATCCTTCAGTTGAATTAATTTACTCTGTGTAATCTGCCTTGAGTCCAACTGAGAAAGGCAGAGTGTAAATAACGTAAACAGAGAACAGCAATGGAATAGCATTCACATCTCCTAAACTTGAGCCTGGATCCAAAGAACTGTTTAAGTAGCTTTGCACACACCCAAGGGGAACTCTGGACTCTTGAACTGTAGCCATACTTTTAGGGGTGTTTTGTGGCATGATGACATGGAGATCTGCTGCTCAGATTTTTTTTATAAAGTCCAAGAAGAAGAAGAAGAAGAGACGAGATTGGATTTATACCCCGCTCTTCACTTGGAGTCTCAGAGCGGCCTACAAACTCCTTTCCCTTCCCCTCCCCACAACAGACACCCTGTGAGGTGGGTGGGGCTGAGAGAACTCTGACACAAACTGCCCTTTTTCAAGGACAGCTGTGCCAGAGCTTGTGACTGACCCAAAGTCACATCAGCAGGTGCAAGTGGAGGAGTGGGGAATCAAACCCGGTTCTCCCAGATTAGAGTCCGCACACTTAACCACTACACCATTAAACACCATGGCCTTTTAGGGATTAAAGTAGCCCTTGGGATTCAAGCCTTGGAGAATATAGCTGAACTGAATTTTCAAGAGTTTTGATTTTTGTACCCAAAATTTGCATATGTAATTGAAGAACCTTTTATCAAATGGCTTAACAAATGGAGTGAAAGTCAAACAAGCTCTCAGCTTTTGGCCATGGATACTGCCCATCAGCAAGCAGTACCGAACTGGCAATAGAGTTTAAAGAAACACTTGGTCAACTAGCTAATCCACAGAGGCAATCAATACGGGAGAATACATTTCTGGTTTTTCTTGCTCAAGTGGCTAGAGGTTGGTTGGGCGTGTAGTACAGTACTGCCATGCAGAGATGAATCTCCCCTGTAGTCCTCCTAAAGAGGGTAATAAAGGGCTCTGTGTGTGGTTTTTTTACCACCACATCCTGGTCAGCTAATGTACAGTATAAATCATTGATAAATTTGCCAATTCCTCTTTAGTATTTGCTAGTTTTAACATTCATCTGGGTTTGGGAATGCTTTTGCTGCTCTTACAGTATTCAAAATTGCTTTACAAAACTAGGGCAGTTATTGATTTGGGTGTTTCATGAGACCAAAAAAAAAAAATCAAACCTATTTCTAACAATGCAGAGTCATTTCCCCTCTAAATTAAGGGTTATTTGTTGTATTCACTGGCTTTTCTTTTTAGGCCTTAATACATCATGCATCTCTGACTTTTAATTGCATTCTGAGGAAACATAGCTGAAAATGATTTTTTTTTCCTTTTGTTCACTCAACCTCATCACTTATTTTATTCATCTTATACAGCAGCAGCAAGCAAACCCAAATACAAGTACACCCTATCTAGCAGGGTGCAGTTCAAAGAAAACTAAAGCTGAAAATCAAATGTTGAGTACTGATTGACAGAAGGACCCCAAGTTCACTTGTGAATGTCTGAATGTTCTGTGGGTTTGCAGGTATGGAGCAGTGGCGGCTGGAACTTTATGTGCCCTTACCACCCTGTCCCAGCAGTTGGAGAATGAAAACGCTGTTGATGTTTTCCAGGTGGCAAAGATGATCAATCTCATGAGGCCTGGAGTATTTACAGATATTGTAAGAATGAAAGCTAATGTTATCATTTAAAAGGCAGTTGGCTGATAAACATCCAATTAAAATCCACACTCATACATTCTGTATAATTCAAAGGCCCGATGCTTTGGATCATATAGGAAGTATGTAATTAGGTAAAGGATAAATTTCCCACCTCCCTTCTCCCAGTGAAGTCTTCTGAGTTCTGTACAATTGTGGATCCTTGTGTCGGTAGACCGCAGGAATATCATGGAAGTCAAACTGAGAGGGCTGTGAGGATGGGAACTGGCGAGTGGAACAGGAATATAGGCTCCAAGCCCTATGTATATGGAGTACTGATGAGAAAGAATGTGATTTACCACTTTGTCTTCAGATTGCTATGAAACCCTCATTCTCTGCTTACAACTGTGGCATCTCCACCAGTTTTGCTATCCATTCATTTGTACAGTTAAGAAGTGCAGTGCACCAATACACATGAATTTGCAATGTGTTCTTGTACATGAAGACAGATCAAGATGGGTAGTCACGTTAGTCTGTCTGTAGCAGTAGAAAAGATCAAAAGTCCAGTAGCACCTTAACGACTAACAAAATTTATGGCAGGATACAAGCTTTCTTGAGTCACTGCTCACTTCATCAGATATAGATTCAGAAGAAATGAGCAGGGATTCACAAAAGCTCATACACTGCCACAAATTTTGTTAGTCTTTGGTCCCTGCCACACAGCAGGGAAACGGAGGGCTGATCTGCGGCAAATGTGAGCCGCACCAAAGTTGGAACGCCGCGGCGGGATCCCACAGATCCCCGGAGCCGCGGCGCGTCACTCCCCGGCACGATCAGATGCCGGGGAGGAAGAGTTGGCTGGGAGGGGGAGGCTGCCGAACTGCGCATGCTCGAGCATGCGCAGTACGGCAGGGGGCCGGGAAGCACCAGCGCAAATACAAGCCGGCCGATCCCACGGCCCGGCTTGCGGCGCTCCAACGGATTCCACCACCTCGGTAGGTGGTTCTGTTTTCCTGCGCGGTATCGCCGGTAGGGACGGAACCGGGACGGATCCGGCACGCTCCCCAGATGTTGAGGTGGGATCGTGCCGGTTTGCTCCACCCCCGTTCCGTCCCGCTCCCGGCCCAACTGGCCTCGTATGAATGGGGCCTTTAAGGTGCAACTGGGCTCGTGCTGGTTTGTACATGGAGAGAGGGAATTCTCTCTGCATATCAGACTTCCAGTAAATAGTCGGTTCCAGGATAGAAGGCAACAAAGGAGTCAGTGCTACCACCCAGGTACCTTTTAATAGCTGTGACACTTGAAGGCTGAGCAGTAAACAAGTGTTACAGTTTAGTAGCAATACAGGACCTATGTGTACTTAGGGTTGTATATGGGATTAGACCTGACTGGGAGCACAGGCAGTATTCAAATGACATAAGATAAAGAGACTTTTTTGTAAGAAGAAGTAGCTTTTAAGAATGGGATTCAAAGATGAGAGAGAAGATCTGTTTTCATGGAAATGTGGAGTACCAGTCAGAATATTTAGGGGCATCAAAGTAAGGGAAAACTACATGGCTGGCACAGGACTAGCAAAACAAAATTAAATATAAGTATCAAATCCGCAACATTTTAGAGGCCTAAATATTTATTGCTCAGTCCTGTCATTGGCACATTTAACCTCCCAAGCTAATCCGTCCTTGAAAATGCATTCTGCGTGTTTTACTTTCTGAAATATTAGATGCTTTACATTGTTTGGTCTTTCCTTTCCAGGACCAGTACCAGTTTCTTTACAAAGCAATGCTAAGCCTGGTCAGCACTAAGGAAAATGGAAATGGCCTCATGGCACTGGACAAAAATGGTGCTGTTATGGCCAATGACGAATCAGATCCTGCAGAAAGCATGGAGTCTCTCGTCTAATTGGAATATTGAAAAGGCACTTAATTTGTGGAATTTCTGAAGACTGAGTGAACTTTTGGAGGCCTTTTTTTGCCAGACTCTAGGTTATTCAATAACCCAGTTACTTTTTTACACTGATAAAAGTTTTGATATTTATTTTTGCCATTTTATGTCTTAATGGTATCCTACTGAGCATTTGCACCTCTGTTTTATTTCACACGGTGGAACGCAATTTTGTCTAGTTTGCACTATATGATCAGTGTTAACTGCCTATAAAGTTGTAATACACAAGCAAGCAAGCAAACCCTGATGCGACATTCCATGACGATGACAAACATGCTCCTTTTTAGTTGAAATGCCCTAAAGTTTCGTTAATTGCCATGAGCCTTGACTCTAAAGTCTTGAATGCTAGACCAGAAGGATTCTTTTTGATTTACAAGAAATGCTGTACCCTTGACATACTCCAATATTTATTGTTTAATTTTCATATAACTTTGGTAATTGTTACAGGTTTTTTGTATTCCAGTAACATGGATGAGTGTTGTTCATTTCTTTCCAGACGATGGGGTGAGGTGATCACTGGCAACGCAGAAGTGCAGTAGCTTCCAGATACGGAACAATTTTTATCCCTTTGTTTACACGGAAGCCTAAGAACGGCTTATCATGAAACATATAAAATTACATTCCCAGAACACATATAGCAACTCACATCTGAGACAGAATCTAAAAGTTTGGTTTTACAGCATCACTGATTCTAAAGTTTTTATTTTTGATTCTGCAACAGCAATATGGGGAAAAAATATTTTGATAATATTTCACCATAGGCAATGTAGTAATCGACTGCACAAAAACTACTATCGGTTCCTTTTATTCCAAAAGTGCTTGGTAGCAGTTTTCTCAGTTACTGTTCCACTCAGCATTTTAAACACATACAGTTCCTTAATTCTTCTGAAGCAGGACCTCTGACTTAAGGGTATGTTACATGATGGAAAAAGGAATTTCATAGTTTGATAGCTATTAGATGCTGTTTTTACAGGTATGTAATTTTCATACTTTAGTGCTAAAACGTACTGATCCATATTACTGGTGAAGTGATCTAATAAAAAACTACCTATAAGATTACACTCTTCCTCTTTTTTTTTTAACCAAACTAATTATTTAGCCTTTACATTCTGATTTCATAGATTCACTCCCATATATTGTCCATTGTACTTATATGATCCCTACTTAATCCAAACAGCCAGTTAATCTTGCTAAAATCCATTTCTTTTCATTATCTTCAAAATGTAAATGCATAATTCCAATGACTTAAAACTGTTTCAAACAACTTTCTGTGCACCTCACTAAGCAACAACTGCCTTCCTGAAACACTCTTTAGTTATTGTGTAAGAACGGGAAGTGAAGTAAGTTGTATGGAGAAACTTGGTTGCATTGCCAAAATCATCAGAAGTTACTGTACATAAGCAGTGAATGCCCACAATAGAAAAAACAGTGGGCCTTGCTGTGCAGTGGTTCCAATAGCTGCATAAATGCCACACTACAGCAGTCTAAACTAGCCAGTTCTAAGTAGCTTGTGCTCTCATTTGAAGCTTATCCCTGAATTGGTTTATTTAGAATAATCTCTGCTTTCCTGAATTATTCACTTTGCTTTTTATGCCAATGCAATTTAGTACGAAAGAAAGGAATTTGCCTGCCCGTTAAAAAGAGAGAGTGAGAGATATGAAATAGCTTTCAGTGGTGGAAATGGCTGTGTTTTTCTGTAAGGGGATCAAGGTTCTTTCAGCACTGACACCAGTCTACTTCTCACTGAAGTGGTAAACAGATAATTGGACTAGACTACTTTTGAATGTAGACAGGCTCATTCTGAATATTCACATGGCTGAATGCTTTTGCATACCAAAAAAGTTCCTGTACATGGAAAATGAGATGTAGGGGAGAAAGGTTCTAGCTTAGCCTTCTCTCTGGATGGTAGAGTTTTCTATGTATAGGAACCTTTCTTTATCATTTGACCTGCAGTCTGAAATTGTATCGTCCAGCTGTAAGTTTACTGCCTCAATAAGAACTAGGACACTATAGGTCCTGTACCCCCACCCACAGGTCCTCCCTTTACCATACTCATCACAAGCAGATTCTCTAAAAAGAGCCCCTGGAAATTCTAATAATTGGTAGTAAATGAACAGCATTCTATTAGTTTTTAATCTTCAAAAATATCCTACCACCAAAAATGCTCTGTAATATTACAAGAGTTGCTATATGAATATTCTAGCCATTGCAATGAACAGCCCCATTTACACTGCAGTCTCACTAGATATCTACAGGGCAAAACCCACTCCTTTGTTGTTTTTTTCCTATAGAATTAGATAAGTAAGAGATAGTAAGTTAGGGCATTAAATACTTATCAGAGGAAAATATAAAGAGGGAAAGCTGAAATCAGTGGCCATGATGCCATTAACAAAAATTAAGCTCTGTCCACGTGCAGCTGTTAAAGATTTAGCCTTTGTTCATAGATTTCTTCATGAGGACCAATACAATTTAAATGAGAAAGCCACACATTTGAAACACTTTCCACTAATATGGATGACCATTAGTAGAGGTTCAGAGCTGTTGCTGTTAACGCACCAGCTGATGCGTGTGCATTTGTCTCCTGTTCTCTCTACAATAAAAATACCATATTTTCTTAAATAAATGTCTTTTCTTGTAACACTGCTTCTTAAAATGTAAATGCCCCGTGAAAAGAATCCGTACAACAGGTAAATTAATTGGCAACATGAGTCCTCCTTGGAATCTCATCAAACTGCTGCTGGTAACTAATCATTAAAGTAAGTGCCTCACTTATATTGTTGCCCATTTTACATTTGCACCCTATAACAATACACAGTTTAAATTATTAACATGGCATTTGAGAAAATATGGTATAAAAATTACACCAAGATCCTCCTTCACCTTTTGGCAATCCCTTTGCTTAGAAGGAGCTTCCTCTGATAGAAGTGAACGGGGGTCCTGACATGTACTGAGCTCCACACAGACTCCAGTACTGCTAGATGAGAGCTCTAATGTTCATAACTGCGTTAAAGGAAGAAAGAAAGGTTTAAGTAGACCACTGCCAGATTCTCCTCTTTACCATGAGAATGTAAACCCATTTTCAGTGGGTGGCATCGATATTGTTCATGCTATTATTGAGAGGCACACTGCTTGCATTGGCATCAGGGACTGCAGTGACTTCATTGCTGGCAACGTGCACTGTTTCAGGAAATTACAACGTTTGAGCATACAATGAATTTTGATCACTTCTGAAATTTTATGGCAAGAAACGACTGGTTCAAGAAGTAAAAGAGGTGTTTTCTTTTGGGTTGGTGGTTTTTGGGTTTTTTTTAAGTTTAGTGAAATTTGTTGCAGTTTTCATTTCAATCTGATTTTGTGGAGGGGATACCACAGAGGAAAATGAATGTGTTTGTGACAAGACTGCCTGGCTGCACTTAAGCCATATCCTTAAAATTTGTACCAGTTGTGCAAGGATATGTTTGTGTATAAAGTCAAATTAGACCTGCATAGCTGAAGGATGGCTATTAGTGAAACCAATGCCGTGTGATCTAGCATTTCGCTTTTCTTTAATACTTACATAGGACTTACTCCATAAGTATATTACTAAAGAAATTATCCCCAATTGAGAGAACGTTAGTTATAGTTAAGTCTCTATGAAGTCAAGGAGACAGATTAGTCAGAACTAACTGAAGTCCCATTAATTTAAAAGAGAGTTAGACTAACAGTTTCTAGACTTAGGTGATTGCTTGAAGGTAAGGATTCATTTCCTTACTATTTATTTTTACATTTATTCTGTCTTTCTACCACCAGGATACTCAAAGCTGTGGCCGTTATACCAGTTTATTAATTGTAATACTGTTTCTCAGTGGAAACTCTGAATGTATGTGAAGAGATCAGTGGTCTCAAATTTTTGAGATACTATCCCTTGTCTTGCCTTCTAAAGTCAAGTCCCATATGCTTTATAGAGACATCCTTCTGGTGACACCTGAATTTTAGTTAAATTGTAAATATGAGTCCTTTCCAATACTAGATGTTCTCAAATAACATTTAAAAGACAGTTACTGATACATCGTGGCTTTAGTTTTACACACACATATTGAAAGCAGATAGAACTGCAACATGGATACTTTGAAAAATACCATGAGAGCTTACTTGCAGGGCCATGAAATCAGTACATATGCCTCATGGTCTGAGGCTTCACCTCAAGTAAAGGGCGGAGTCTATTAAAAATAAAACTTTAAACCAATGGTGTTCCTCGACCTACAAGTAGATTTTTTTTCTTTTCTACCTTTGGGTATCACTCTCAATAGCATTTTGACAGACTAACTGCAGTCCTAAGAACCAGGGCTCTAGTCGGGGGGGAGCTCTCAGGTACGGAGCTCCGGAAGAGAACCTCTAGGGGGCGGGGCGGTCACGTGGTGAAGCCCCGCCCCCTTCTTTACCCCGCCCTCTGCTTCGATCCTCATTCTGTTTGGGAATGAGGATGAAGCAGGAGGGTAAGTAGCCGGGCCTTCTGACACACTTCCGGTGATGTCAGGGGGCGTGGCATATGCAAATAAGTTATGCTAATGAGTTATGCTAATGAGCTCCGGCAGCTCTTTTTCTACAACAAGACCCCTGCTAAGAACACTTTCCTGGGCATAAATCCCATTAAATAGCCCTGTGTAGGATACTGAATAGACCTGCTTTAGGATTGCTCTCTAAACCAAAACTTGCATTTAAAAAATTGTCCTTTAGCATTTCATAGTATTTGTTTTTAACTGTGAATGAGGAAAGACTATGATGAGACAAGAATTTTTTTGTGTGTGTATAAAACTTTTAGGATCCATTCTACAATAGTGGGACTAGAATCTGATGGGCAAGATTTTGCTTCATTAAAATTCTGAATGATTTCTTTAAACTCAGAAAGATACATTACAGCACTATCGAAATACTGTCCCTTAAGCAACATAGCACAATGACCTTGTTATGAATACCTGTTTACCTGTAAACTGATATTTTAGTAGAGATATCAATTTTACCAAAGAAACATAACACTAATTCTTAGCAAAAATATTGAAAAAATTAAAGAAAAAAATAAGAAGGAAAGTGTCGTCTCAACAACTTAGCAGTCATGCTCTCAAATTCATTCTCTTCTGCCACCCACTCCTGTGGATAGACAGTTATGTTAAAATGGCGCCAGTGAATTTTATATGAAGGGGAAATGCCTCATTGCTAATCCACTGCATTTCATTTCATTACTTTAAAAAAAAATAGATGTAGTTCTCAACTCTTTCTTGTCATCCCTTTGATCTTTCTCTCTTGGTTGCCATTATAAGCAATGTATACTACATTGGCTTTGCTTAGCTGTATAGTGAAGGCATGCAAAACAAACAGGGAGAGACAGAATGCAGAGAAATGAATGAAAAGACTTGGCCTCGACATTGTCTTAGCTGTTCAACTGTTTTTAGTATTTTTGTTAGATATTTGCAAAGGGAAGCCTTTTCTACAGAGGATAATTAATGTCAAGAAAAATGTCTTGAGTTTTAAAAATAAACATGTCTCCAAAAAAGGAGATAGTCAATTTTATAAAATGTCACAACTCTCCAACATTTGGGGTAGTGACCTTTCTTTCTTTTGTTAGAACCTTTGAAACTAGCAAGCAGCCATTGTTTCTAAAGAACTAAGTATTCATCTCTATCCATACTTTTATTTCCTTCATTTTTAAATAGCAAAAATCATTAAAACTGTAAATATTTTGTTGCTTGAATAAGCATCTTCTGGGAACTTTGTATCTATGGTATATAATCATAGAATTTTATATTTTCATATAAAGCTAATTTTTTTCTAGTTTCAACTTCTTCATAGTTTTTTTTCCCTTTTGTGGTGGATATGTGAAGACATACTTTCTGTGTATTGAAGTAGTGAAATGCCATCACATTCCAAAAAGAATTCAACACATGTTATTTCTTTGGGACAGTGATTGTCAATGCTGGATTTTCTTTAAATTCCATTGTCAGTGTGTGCAATAGGAATTAGACTTAGCCAGTCACTGGATAAGTTTGTCTCATTGACCCATTGGGAAAAATGT